AGAGAGAGAGAGAGAGAGATAGACAGAGAAGAGGAAAACCAATTAAATCAATTAAAATCGATGGGCGAGAGAAAAATACCCGCAACGAACAAATCAAATCAATAATGAAAATAAGATCAAAAATGCAGATACACGATAAAACATCCAAGCTAATAATCATAAAACAAAATCTAAATTAGATCGATAAACAGACCAATGGTTTGCGAAAAACGGAGATTTACCATCGATTTTTGCCGAACAAAAATCAATATAAAATTTTCAAAATAGCTACGTGAAACTATTTTCAAAATTTGTTTACAAAACAAACACTTGCAACGCAAAATAACACCATGACATCTGCAAATTGCGACACATCTCGATTATTGGCTCAAAAAGTTGGCGCCCTTAAAGATGAGAAATTAAAAGTGGCGGTTAAAATCATAAACTTCTAAACTCAGTTTCTACATATCAAATAAAAATAAAATAAAATTTACGTTTTTTTGTAACAATGAAATTTTATCGGTCAGTTAAATCTAATTTATCGTTTTCAGAATTGCGACATTTTATTAAACATTAACACAATTGAAATTGACGTTAACGTATCGCGAAACGGCTAAATTGCTGATAACATAATAGTCTCAAATGTGATATTCATTGTACTGCTTAATATGTTTTCCCATTTCTTTTTAATTCTATATACATTCTCGATAATATAAACAGAGATTACAAAATAATATAAAGTGACAGGAGGTGTGCCGCTTCCACGTTACGTCGCGCTCGCGAACTATTTACCAGCACAAAGTGGCGAACAATTTGGTTGCAAAAATAAAGTAAAGTGTAAATCGAACTGACAAAACGAAGAACGCAAAATCGAAAGAATATTTCTTGAGCGCATTCCGACAATGGCGCGTATTCCCTTTTTTAAAATAACAAATCTTTCAAAACACCCCTCAACGAATGCGATCGGATCCCACCGAATAGTTTTTACAACAAACAAATCTAGTTTTTCCAATTCTTTCTTTTATACTTTTTTTATTTACGACAGTTGTGTACGCAGTTTGCTCGTGTCTTTTGTTGAAGTGGCGGGATAACGAAGATCTCGCCCACCCTAATTTAAAACGCGTCTATAATGAGATTGCCCCGGAAAGAACGCTCTCTCTCGCGCGTGTGTTCCTTCTTCCCTTTTCTTTTTCTCACTTAAATGATACAATGACATTTTTCTCTCTTTTATTTTTTTTCTCGTTTAATCTACTAGCACTGTTTCTGCCTGTTTGTAAAAAACATTGTCGAAAATGATTCCTTTTTTTTTTTCTTCAATGGCTATTTCATCGTCTCTACGTTCTATACACTAATATACAAGTTATGTGATCTTGCGTTTTTCCTTTTTTTTTTTCTTTTAAATCCGTATGCCTGTCCGTCCCACTTATCTAATTTATCTGCTAACATGGAATACACTTCTTGCGGCTGATTTTTTTTCTTTTTATTTCCCTCTGCATCTATCGTGTGTCTCAGACAGTACCACTGGCCCGTATATCGTCGTGCGCCTCGCACGAGTCTCACGGCGAGATTTCCTTCGCCGAATGTCGAAGAAATCCAAATCCGCGTCGCGGAGCGAATTTTGCGCCTCGACGCGATCTCGTTCGGATCGCGGGATTTTACAATTGGCAATTTCCGATTTAAAAAATTTCTTTTCCAAACGTAATTTTTTCGCGGTGTGTTTCACGTTCCTTTCTTTTTGTCGTCCTCCTCTCTTTTCGCGCTTTCTATGCGGGCCGCACTCTTATAGGAGCCAGTGATCGATACGAACAGTGTTACGCGTTACATATATATGACATATATCAGACAAATATATACGAGATATTTATATATATATTTAATATATACGTTCTTTTTTCCTTCGGTGTATATATATACGAAATATATATATATACTTAGTTAGCCCTGCGATTCCAGCGATTATTGTTGTGTTCGTGTGTTATATCCGCGTGTGTGAAGCGAGCGAAGTGGAGGGTCTCGGCGGAGGAGGGGTGGAGCGGTGGAGGAGCATGACCGTGAAATGATGAGAATAGCGCGCTACTGTACATCAGTCTTAATATCAGGGCGCACCATTCCCGTTGATGTTCGCTTGCTTATCCCTCTTTGCGGTTTTACGTTATCGTCGATCTTAAGGTGAAAGCCTCACGCGTCAAGCCGTCCTCCTCTCCGAACGAATAAATTCCTTTACTGCAGAGCAAAGCTTTTCCTTCTCGTCAGAGGAGAAAAGCTTCATTCCAAGTTTGTCCTCGTTTGGTTGTAACTGAAATTACTTTGAAAATTGATTATCAATTATACCTTTTCCAGTGAGACAACAGATTATTATCTTGACAAACAAGCCGAATGAAATGCAATACGAAGATATAATTTCTGTTTGATCGTTGAATTTTTGATACGCTAAATGGTTCTCCCTTAAGGTCGACGATATTCGAGAAAGGG